ACCTCCGATCTTCGTCAGTTGATATTAAAAACTAAGAAGCCAATAAACAGGCGTTTATGGGTCACTGATGCATCCAAATTAATAGCTAACGAACCGTATAAATAGAGGCCTGTTTATTGGCTTCTTAGTTTTTAATATCAACTGACGAAGATCGGAGGTTTCTGATCGAAACGTCTTGTAAAAACTTTTTTAAACGTGATTACGTTTTTTACATAGCTAGTGACAAGAAACTTTTAATCTTTTAATATATAAATATGAATCCTAGCTGCAATTTTAGCATTTTTCGTCATATATATATATATATATATATATATATATATATATGTATATATATATATATATATATATATATATATATATATATATATATATATATATATATATCAAGAGCCAGCCCCAAAAAATCTTCATTTATAAATATCAAAAAATCATAAATCTTCAAAGTAAATAAATTATATTTTTACGTTTCGGGGACAAGCCCCTTCTCCAGAATAACGCTACATCATCTCCGTCTCTTGCTTTCTTGCTGAAAGCAAGAGACGGAGATGATGTAGCGTTATTCTGAAGAAGGGGCTTGTCCCCGAAACGTAAAAATATAATTTATTTACTTTGAAGATTTATGATTTTTTGATATTTATATATATATATATATATATATATATATATATATATATATATATATATATATATATATATATATATATATATATATATATATATATATATATATATATATACATATATGTCGATAAAGTTAATCCAAGCGAAACTAAACGGTACCAGGATGAAGTAAGCCGGCTCAAAAAGGACCTTTTTAGTGAGAGGGAGAAATGCAAGCGCTTGGAAGCTGATCTGTCTATTCTAATCAAAGGAAGATCTTGTGAAGTTAATGAATTGAACGATATTATTGCCTCTCTTGAATTTAAACTGAAAGCCACTGAGGCGACTAATGTCTCCTTGAGAGATCTAATTAAGACCAAAATCTCCAATTCAAAGCAGACTGAAATTTTCCCTAGCAACACTGCCACAAAGAACGATAAACAATGCGCGGTCAATCATGTAGAACAAAGCAATCTTGTCCTTAATCGAGTTTTGGGTGAGGAAACTCCCTGACTGACCTTGCACAGAAGTCGCACGTGACTTCCAATCTAGTCGTTTCCAACAATAGACGCGTCGACATATATATATATATATATATATATATATATATATATATATATATATATATATATATATATATATATATATATATATGGTTTATAAAACGTTCGAAATATAATGTTAATTATGACTACGACGTGTGTAGTCATTTAACAGGTTTCCCTTTTTTCAGTTTTATACAAATTAAAATAATTCGTATGGTAAAAGTATAGACTAAGACAAATTTGTTTTTAAATTATTTTGGGTTATCAGAGATTTGAGGTTATCTTCTCTTTCGATGACATCGTGTGTTGAAGTAATTTTTGTTCAGTTTCTTTTGTTATGTTGAGATCAAACATATTTTTGAGAATGTTGTTTGAGTTCTCTCGTAAGTGTTGGTATTTTTGGCATGTGACGGCGAAAAGAAATTCGTTTTCCACTTCGCAAGAATCACATAGTTTACAGATACGTTCTTCTCGAGGTTATTTTCGTATCCTCCTGCCTTCCTCGTTCAATTTGTAACTTATATGGTTGCTTATGCGATATTGGAAAAATGTTCTTCTTATTGTTGGAACCCCTATTGGTTGACGAGACTGGCTTGTGATGTATAACTACACAAAACATAAACAAAAACGAGTTAGGTACAATGGTTAAGACTAGAATTGGGAATTCGAATCAGAATATTTTTTTTGTATGGCATATGGGATTTTTGTACAACATGCAAGTGTTCAATAATTGGTTTTCTACAATTAGGGTAATTTTAACTATAAACAAGACGCTTGCTAAGCGTTTACTCGAGCGGGATTTGCAAAATATCTGCGTATATCCAGCGACCAGCGTTTCGCATCATGATTTAATACCGTTTTACATCTTAGCTTACTCACGTAAAGTGCATTATTTACGAGGCGTAGTGGTTTACGCGCCCGCTTGCGAAGCGTGGTTTCCGGGTTCAAATACAGTTAGCTGCAGTTTTATTTTCAAATTAAAAAAAAATTTTCAACTTCTCCCGAGTATTATTTTAAGGTTAGGCCTTAGGATTAGGAGTTAGGGTTGTGTGTGGGATGGGTTCAATTTTTTTAAGAATATATTTTAACACTTTACTCTTTAGGACTAATTTCCTGACTGCCGGTGTCCCAGGAAATTTGCCCCCCTCAAACTTTGCCCCCTGGGGGCTTTATTTCCAATACTGCAGTATTTCTACAATTCTAGACTAGTATTTCGATTCCAATGGAACTAAGTTTGATAGTTTAGATACATGTGATGGATATTTTGAATATTAACTAAATGGAGCACACAAAATATGCGTACAGTCGTTTAGTTTTAATCGAGTACACCGAATATGGGTACAGCCGTTTAAATTTTGGTCGAGTACGCTTTTAGTTTTATTATAGAAAGCGTACATGCAGCCATTTGTCCGTTTACTTTTGATCGAGTATGCTTAGAAAGCGTACATTTACAAATACTTGATCGAGTACGCATATTGAAATCCACTATTATATATTATACTTTTTGTATAAAGAGTACTGAATACAGTCCGCAGAGAGTAAACAAAGTACGAGAGCAGGAAGTCGAATGAGCCATTGAACGCCAGCACGAAGAGCAGGAAGTCGAATAAGTCATTGAACGCCAATAAGATAATCACAAATAATCACATGCGACCACGATTTGTTTCGATTGGTCAGAATTAAGAGTGGCCGCGTGGGAGAATAAGTCTTGCGCGAACAAAAAACCCGACCGAAACTATGACTCGAGTTGAGCTCGAGTAATTACTTCTGTGTAATATCCTTACATTTTACAGCAGTAAACTGTATATTTATGTGCTTTCATACTTAAATTTCTTCTCTGGGCTATATAGCCGTTTCATTCGTTTCAACATTCGGTCAACAAAAGGATATATTTTTCTCCATCAATGCCCTATGTTGACCGGATGTTGAAACGAATGCAACATTGAGCGAAGAGACTCGAAATCTGGCAAATGGAAACACTTCCGGTTGCTTATGTACCTTAACAGTGGCAGGAGAACAAGTTCCGCATGACGTGAGATTGCCGACTCACTTCAGATAGATAGATAGCTGGTTCATTGAGTGTTACATTGCAGCAAATAGCTGAATTTCATAATTTGTACAATTTAAAAAAACAATAAGAAATAATTATTCCCAAGGTGAAAATTTAATCTAAGAGTCAAGGAATTTAAAAAGTTTAGGCAAATTTGCATGTTGATGGAATAAAAGTACTTAGAAATGTATTAGTTTTAATATGTGGAAGCTCATAAGTTCGCTGGTATCTTAATTAGTAATTAGCTACATTAGGTGCATAGGTTACGAAGTTATGATCACTGTCTGTAACGACCGAGCTAAATAGCTTACCGGAAATGTTCTGACATCTGGAAGATAGGGTGCATAAACGCGATGACAATAATTTGTCTTCATATGGAACATTTGGGAAGATGATGGACAAGGGTCGGTTTTTAATTGGTTCTAAGCATCCAGATGGTATTGTGGCAGCATACAGTATAACGGAAAACTTGTCCGCCATAAGCGATAATAGATCGAATACATGTAGTGTAGAAATTAATTAGACCCTTTGCCGGAACATTAGCGCGTTTCAATTGAATGAGAAAAAATAATCGTTTTTTAGCCTTTTCAAGATTGTTCCTTTAGATTGTTCCATTGAAGATTGTCCGACACTGTGAGGCCTAAATTTTGGCATTATTAACTATGCCAATAGGCTCATTGTTGATTAATATAGGGTCAAATTGGTCTTTCCGTTGTCTAAAACGAGTTCTTTACATTTATTCAGGATTCAGTTGTAACTTATTTGTAGATGGCCAACTATCAATTTCTTTGACATCTTGTTGTATTTGACTGGCACTACCCTTTGAGACAATTTCAGAAATGGTAATGTCGTCAACGAACTTCAGCGCGGTGAATCTCTTACTTCTAAATCGTTTTTCATCAACAAAAAGAGCCAAGGCCACAATTTAGTGCAAATTTAGTACAGAGTAACAGTCTTTATACTTTGATATCTGTCTGTAGGAAAATAACTAACCCAACAAAAAATTTTATATGGTAATATGTCTAGACCGCGAAGTTTTTGGAGAAGAATACAGTGGTCAATTAAGGAAAAAGCTTTAGTATAAATAGTCAAATAACACAATTCTCGCCGCCGAAGAAGTACCATCCGTAGCTTTTTCCCATTCATGAATCATGGAGACCAGAGCTCGAGTGGTTGAGGATTTAGAAATAGCACCAAATTGGTTAGGATCTATTACTTTTAAGATTGCTAGAGCGATGTAGCCTACCTCGACACAACAAATTCCTCAGCGACTTTTGAAATTGTTGATGTTAAAGAAATTGGTCGGAGATGGTTCAATTTCGGTCTGGTTGAACTTGCATTTGGTATGCCTTGCGGTGTAGGTGTTTAACATTAAAATTGAGATCAATTGAGAGATTGTGCTGAACTTTTAACCGTAATAGTTGGTTCCATACTAAATAGTTCTTACCAGGAAATGAAACTTCCAACTATCTGGAAGTACAGTATAACAACGTCACCCCTATACCTAATGCAGCTAGACCCATATGAAAGTTCAACCAGACCGAAATTGAATTTTTTGACAGGAGGTTTTCTGCAGCTGGCATGTTACTGACAGTGGACAAGGTAAAAGCCCTCATAGAAGCACCCGCAGCAACATCAATTGCGCAGGTCCACTCTTTCCTTGGGATGGCTAACTCCAGCGCCCACTTTACACAGCTCTACTCGGAAACCACTGCACCACTGCAGAGATTTGAATTGATGAATGAACGTCAGACAGCCTTCGAGACCTTGAAGAAAGCAATGGCTAGCCCTGCAGTCATGTCTTATTACGACCCCACAAGACCAGCCCGACTCATCGCGGATTCATTCAAATATGATCTGGCTAGTATCCTAACTCGATTAGACACAGAGACAGGGGATCACAAGGTAGTTGATACCAGATAGATACGATAGCAGATCCACCACACAACCCGAATCCAGGTATGCCCAGATCGAGATTAAAAGCGCAGCAGTCGAATTCGCAATCAAACTGGACAATATTTACCTCTATATATGGTTTACTAGAATTGACAGTCATCGCATACCACAATCCATTACTTGCACTCTACAACACTACCTACCGAGAAGAAATGCCTTCACGAATTCACAGGCACAAGCTCAACGTACAAGGATATAATTTTAAAATTAACTTAAAACTTAAGCCAGAGAAAGACAACCCAAACGATTACATATTGTCCTGACATTCGGCCTTTATTATCCTAGAACGAAAGGAGCGCCAAGATGTACTCCTGCTCAACCATTATGTATATGCCATCATCCAAGATCATCTTTCTCCCGCAATGACCATGGAACAAACCGGATTGGCAAAAAAATATCCAACAATCCAACTGCTTATACAAGCCATACACCAAGGATACATAAAAGACACTGAAAAACGAAAGCTTATGCCATATATCCATGTTTTCAATTAACTCTCAACACTGAGGGGATTGGTTACAAAGAGGAAGCAAACTGGTGGTTTCAGAAAGCCTAATTATAAGGTATCAAGTTGTCATTCTGGCACATCAGGGCCATCAAGGTATCGTCAGAACAAATTAACAATTTCTTAGAGCTACAACCTGGTTTTCTGGCATAGACAAAAGAACAGAGAAAGAAGTTGCGCACTGCATTCCATGTCAGTCACAGTTAAAACAGCCCAAGAGGAACCACTCAAACACATAATGCTTTCTACACATCTATGGGACATTCCTGGCAACCGACCTACATGAAGCCTCGCAGCAGGAGAATACCTTTTAGTGGTGCAATTCCTATACTCGAGATACCCAGCAGAAGAAATAGTTCGTTCCATCTCGGCTGGTGCCTGCATACCAGCACTATATAAGGTCCTATATCAAGGTCCTACAGAGATTACCAGAGACAACCGACCACCCCACAACATTGAAAAGTTTATGTATACCTTGACGTTTTAATCGAGCAATATTAAAAGTTTGGTGTAAATATATACTTTACAAATTTCATTATGGAAAACTTTTGTAACTATTTGCTTTTCATGGTACGATGAAACGAAGTAAAATACCAACTAGGCAAACTGTATTTTCCCCAAGCTAACGGCGCGGTGCGCTGTTCCGAGCGTAAGCACGGGCGAGGATACTAATTCCACTCGGCTATTTACACTAGCATTAGCGAGGTCTAAAGTTCAACAATAAATGCAGGCGTGTGATTATAGTCCACTGATCTTAAAAATATGGCTGTTTGACAGAAGTGGGCTAACACTTTTCAAGAACATATATTTGGAAAATCGTTTTATACAATGAGCTTTCAAGCACTTTTTCTTTGAAGAAATAAGAAGAATTGATTTACTATGGGAAATCGTGAAATATAGGGCAATATATGGATAAAACGTACAATGCACTGCGTCTTTTTCAACTATGGAGCTAGCTGTAAGTTAAAGACAGTTTATCGACAAAAGCAGATTTAATAGTGGAATGAACATTTCAAAACATTTTACGAGGCGTTTCAGACTAAATTTTACATCGAATCGAAGCCCACAAAAAAATGAAAAATCACAAACCTACATTTACATATTTCGGAAATTCATTGTTTTATAGTTGAAAGTACTAATGTTTTAACGATTTTTCCGTTTTGTACAAAAAAATAATTACAATACAATATACAATACAATATACTTTATTTAAAGTGGTTTCAACACTTAGCGTCAAGGCTAGTTTACAGGATGTTTAAATTAAAATTTAAAATTTTTAAATTATCGTGTTGCCATGCCAACACTTGACGTGCAACGCGAGCTTGCGTTCAGTGTTGATCAATTGCCAATATACTTCATGTTAGATGAATGTTCGGAAAATGTAGGCGAGTGGTTGTTACGTGCATGCATTTCTAGTTTAGTGGTACGATAAAAAAAGCCCGGAGCGAGGATTCTAATTCCGCACGGCTATTTATACCAGGGGAAAGGGAAGCATTAGCAATCTAAAGTTCGCCAATAATCGCGGACGCGTGGCCATGATCCCAGGTCGGACTTATTCACTGATCTCAAAAATATGGATGTTTGCCAAGAGTGGGATAAGCAAGATTTCAATTTTCAAAA